GGGGAGCGCCAGCCCTGGGCATGCGGCTATGGGGGGGGCCGCCCCCGGGCATGTGGGCTATGGGGGGGCCGCCCCCGGGGCGCAAGTGTCCCCGCCCCCTGGCGCCCGGCGGGCGAACGGCCACACCCCCTGGCGCCCGACAACCTCGAAAGGTTGGGGACCACTGCTCTAGAGGGCCAGCCTGTTCAATAGCTAAGAGGAACTGTCAATAGTAAGGGGGAGTGGAGGGTAGACAGAGACCTGTACTGACATATCAGCCAGTATGACCTCTTGCTCTGGATTTGAGGGCTGTGTGTATCCCAAAATGTGATCAACCATCATGAATTAATAAAATAAGACACAATGTAGTACTGGGTTAATTTGAAAGCCAGCTTTTAGAGGCAATGCCAAAAGTAGATGGCAGTTTCTGCTAATTAAAAATTTAAAAAATCAACAAATAAAAGTAAAAAAAATTAAGTAAACAAAAAGCTTTAAATATAAGGGCCTTTAATACACAAGTATTATAATTAAAATTATTAACATGTTTGCTAATAGTTTATTAAACATTTTAAAAATAATACTGTAATATGGGTCACTGTAACCTATTTGTTTGTAAAATTAGTCATAATAACTAAGGGTATGTCTACACTGTAGTGTTTTTCCAGAAAAATGACCATTTTTCTGGAAAAACTATACTTAAATCCACACTGATATTGTGTTCTTTCAACAGACAGTCGAAAGAACAGAGGGGTTTTCCCGACAGTGGTAAACCTCTTTCTACGAGGAAGAAGCCTTTCTCTGAAAAGGCTTTTTAGGAAAAATGCACATGTGGATGCAGAAGAGGGAGTTCTTTCGAAAGAAGAGGACTCCAGGAAATAACACAGGTGCCCTGGTGGCCGCTCTGTCCATACTAATCACAACTTAAATGTGAGATAGCATCCAATCAATGTGGACGCTATCTTTAAAAAAAGCACATTGCTTTTTCGATGCACTTTTGCTGTGTGGATGTTCTCTTTTGAAAAAAGATCTCTTCTGGAAAAGCTTCTTCCAAAAGAAGCATGCAGTCTAGACATAGCCTGATATAGTGTACTTTAAAGTAGTTCTCTGAAGCCATCCCAAGCAAAGTTTTTCCTGACTGAGCAGCTGCCACTGCATACCTGCTAATCGCTCAGTCCTGTATCAGATTTTAGGCAAACATTTGGAATGTTCTAAACCTATTGCTTATGGCTATGTGTGCTTACATCTAACCAATTTCCATATTAGATAAAGTACAGTTACATGCAGGGATGTCCTTAGGATTTATGGTGGTCTATGCAGTACAGGCAGTCCCCGGATTACGTACAAGATAGGGACTGTAGGTTTGTTCTTAAGTTGAATTTGTATGTAAGTCGGAACTGGTACATATTATAGGGGAAACTCTAGCCAAACATTTCTCCAGAGCTCAGTTTTATTCTCCCACGCCTCACTTCCCTCAGTCCTTTATTCTCAAGCTGAGGTGTCTGCTGGGAAAAGCCGCTCCGCGTCTCTTTGGTCTGCTGCGGGGGGGCGCTAGCTTCGTGTCTCCCTGGTCTGCTGGGGGGAAGCAGCTAGTGCGGGGTTGCCTCACCCCGTTTGTAAGTAGGGATCCGATGTAAGTCGGATCCATGTAACCCGGGGACTGCCTGTACTATTAAACAGGTGTCCCTATACCCAACAACAGCCAGGGGTGGGAGGAGATTGATGAAATATTTTTATAGATGTGGTTTTATAATCTCCAGCAACACTTCAATGAAATATTTTTAAAGTTTTAACGAAGGTCTTGTAGATTAACACAGTAAATTCAGAAAGTGGCAGTTTATATTTGAGGTTGGCAAATGCTTGTTAAATTGCTTCATTACCACTTGAATGACTCTTTCACTGTTCAATGTCTGCTAATAGGTCTGGCACAGTTTTTCACTTTTAAGTTAATTAGATCCTCTCTTGAGGAAGAAGAACCACAGAACAGAGGTAGGAAGAGGAAGGTGGGTAGAAATTAAGACCCACTGGTGCCCCAAATTCTTGGGTATCCGATGCAGTTGCAAATTCTGCATATGGGTAAGGATGGAGCTGATTACTTGCATTAATTTTCATCAGATAGAATTTAATGATTTAGTCATGGGAGATGGGTATAAGACAGGGGTGGGCAAAAGGGCCTCTGTGGTCTGGATCCGGCCTGCCAAGTGGGTGGACCCAGCTCGAGGAGGCCCTGCTCCTCCCCCGCCTGCAAGCCAATTAGGGCATGAGGGCATGGGAGACCCCGAAGCCGGACTAGGTAGTTTGAATTAAAGCTCCTAATTTGAATTACCATTAAACCTCCTTGCAAGAGGAATAACGGTAGTTCAAATTAGGAGCTTTAATTTGAACTACCTAGTCCGTGCCACGTGTATCCGCGGGCAGGTAGTTCGAACTATGGGCATTTAAAAATGGTGCCCGCCCGGGAACATGCAAATGAAACCCAGGATATTTAAATCCCGGGCTTCATTTGCAAGTTCGAATGCCTACATTAGCCACCCTAGTTCGAACTAGGGTGGCAGTGTAGACATACCCTCAGATATGTTCTTACCCTCTTCCAGTGTTGTGTCTATGCAGGTAGTAGGAACTTGAAGGCTGCTATCAAATCCCCCCTCACTCTTCGCTTCTGTAGACTAAACAGATCCAACTCCTTCAGCCTCTCCTCACAGGCCATATGCTCTAGCCCCCTAATCATTTTGGTCGCCCTCCACTGGACCCTCTCCAATGCATCCACAACCTTTTTGTAGTGGGGGGCCCAGAACTGGACACAGTACTCCAGATGTGGCCTCACATGAGCCAAATAAAGGGGAATACTCACATCTGTGGATCTGCTGGCAATGCTCCTCCTAATATGCCATTAACCTTCTTGGCTACAACTTAGTCCGTGGCTACACAGCAGGCAGTTATTTTGAAATAATGTTGAAATACTGTCAAGCTGGAGGACTTCTTACTCCAACTCCTGTAACCCTCATTGTATGTGGAGTAAGGGAAGTCAGAGGAAGAGTGCTCTGTTTCGAAATAAGTGCTATGTAGATCCTCCCAGCTATTTTGAAATAAGATACACAATTGATGTAGCTCCATTTGTGTAGCTTATTTCGAGTTAAGCTCTACTGTGTAGATGTACCCTTAGTGAATTACAAAGCCTTGTTAGGCCCATAGCATTTAGATTTTACACAATAATTTTCTAGATTAAATAGGTCTGGGTGTTGCTTCCTAGTAACAGTTTGCATCTTCATTTATACTGATTGCAAATTACAGTGCTTTAGTTTCTACACTAACATTATTTGGGACACCCTTTCTTGTCCTATCAACTATGCTTAATTACCCCCTTAGGTTTACCTCTTTATATGAATTGTGCCTGTTATAGTGTGATTTAGTAGTGGAATCTTAGCGTTTAAATACTACAGGGTCAGATTCTGATACTTTTACTCACAGTGCATGTCTACACTATGAAATTATTTCAAAATAACTACATTCATCTTAATAACTCTCAGTTTTACAAAATTGAAATAGCGTGTCCCCACTACAGGGAAGCCTCAAAATTAGTCTGAGGCAGGTTTTTTAATATGAACGTACTACCTCGACTAAGAGCCCCAGGGAGTACTGGGGAGTAATTCATTCAGATTGCTCTGGGGAGTAGTTATTTTGAAATAGAGGCACTAGAGTATCCACATAATGCTATTTTGAAACAACTATTTTGAAATTAGCATTGTTCCCCGAGGAAAACAGGAGTACAGATTTCGAAATAAGATGCCCATTATTTCAAAATAACAGGCTTGGTAGTGTGGATGCTCTGCATATAAATTTGACTTAAGGGGGGTTATTTCAAAATAACGCCCTAGTGTAGACTAGGATATACTGAATAATACCTCACTCCACAAGCAATCCCATTTTTTCCAAGGGAACCTCTTATCTTTGAGATACTAGTCAGAAAGAGCAGGGATTAAAATCTGTCTCTTAGGGTATGTCTACACTACAGCGCTAATTTGAACTAATTTAGTTCGAATTAGTTAATTCGAACTAAGCTAATTCGAACTAGCGCATCCAGACTAAAAAACTAGTTCGAATTAGCGTTTTGCTAATTCGAACTAGTGCGTCCACACTGATTGGACGCAGGGGCTCATTTAAGGGCACCTGAAACTGGTTCTGGCAGGGCATCAGGTCAGTAGTTGCTTTGTGTGGCTGCTGTCTGAGGCTACCTGAGGCTCGTGCTTAAAGGGACCCCTCTGGACAGCAGGTTCTCAGCTTTTCCACTTCCTTGCCTACCTTGCCTAGGGACAGCAAAGCGTTTTTCTCTCCACCTGGCTGTGTCGGTGCTTCCCACTGGGGATGCCGTTGCAGTTGGCACCATGGAGCCAGAGCTCGCCCTGGGCATGCTGCTCCAGTTTTGGACTTGCTGCTACAAGCCTGCCAGCAATGGGTGGAGGTTGCCTTGCACCATCTGGTGCACGTCAGCCTCCTGCCTCTCCCCCTGGCCTCTCCGGGGGCTTTGGACATCGTCCTGGAGCGGTGGGGAGACCAACAGTGGACCCAGAACTTCAGGATGAAGAGGGACACCTTCCTGGAGCTCTGCGAGTGGCTCGCCCCTGCTCTGCGCAGAAG